GGCTGGCTGGGGAATTCTGGGAGTTGAAGTCCACCCGTCTTCAAGCTGCCAAGGTTGAGAAGCCAGCTTAGAGGGTAATCTTGCTAAGGTTTCCCCTTTTGTCATACAGGTCCTGCTTCCATCGGTAAGAGGCCCATCCCAACCTTTCTAAAAGAGAGTCAGGTGTGGTCATACCAGACCTCACATGAAGCACACGTGCAGCGATTGCTCAGTTGTAGCCTTCCCTCCTCTTACATACCACACATTCATTTCCCTATGAACGGGTTGAATGCTGAATTCTGGTTCTTTTTGACCTAACGGGGAGCTCACTGTAACTCAACGTGACTTTCCATCGAGGCGAGCTAGCGCAATGATTTTTCCTCCTCCAAACTATTCACCCCAAAATGTTGGAAAATGATTCTGGGAAAGGAGAGTGCATCTGTAGATCTACGATGAGGATGAGCGATGTCTTTTCTACAGTACGCAGGTTGGATGGTGAAGAACCCATTCCCTGTATCCTGACGGGGAGGCTTGCATGCCGAAGACTAATAAATGAAGGAATTGTTTTTAAAGCCGAGGAAAAAAGAAAGCTCGCCGTGGTAAATCATACTCCCCCAAAATAGGTGCTTGTAACTCCCCATCAATTCTTGCTTAATGTACTGTGAGATGCAGTCCAGCTGGTTATGGGGTTGCAAGAGAATTGCTCTCAATTGCTTTTTGCTTAGAAACATCTGTCCCCTTCTCTGCCTTTCCTATTGCCTTGGATGGCCACATTTATTTGGAAAGAGGGGATTAAAGGGAATAACTACTACTTTTTTTAAAAGCATCCTATCGTCACAGATGTCTCGTTGCTTTCTAGCCTACTGTCTTGACCCTAACGGTGGGGGTAGGAAGGGATGTTTTACTTCTATAAGGATTCCACTGGATTCTGGAGAAGACCAGGAGGCCGTCCACCCTTTCCCTTACAGCTCAGAAGCTCTCCTCTGCCTTCAGGTTTTATCCTTCCAGGGGGGTGATCAGTGGCTCTGCGAGCCGCAGGTGTTAGAACAGACGCTGCACCAACGCAAGAGTGCGATTTCACGGACAATTAATCAGGTGCTGTGGGCTGAATCACACTGTCAGTCAAACAACTGCGGCTTCAGGACCTGATGGGGCAGACGTCACTGATTAATTCCTTCCACGTTAGAGAGGGGGCTGGTGGAAACCTGCCACTTTTCCGTCTCTCTGCTACCATTGGCATTTTCCCACCCTGTGTGCGTGTGGCAAGGGTCACATTGTAAAAGGTGGCCTAATCGCATGCCAGTCAACGCTGGCAGCCGAGCCTTCAGAGGAGCCTCCCGTAAGGAGCCCAGGAGAACCACATGAAAGTGTGAATTTATTTTCAAGGAGGAAAGGGTGAAACTACAGCAAGGACCATCAGAAGGACAAAGATGCCAAATGAAGGCTGACAAGCTGTTGACGTGGCGCCTGCCATTCAGGGGAAGAAACAAAGGAAAAATGGCCCTGTGGGAGAGACACAGCAGGCAGCCAAAGACTTTGCTTTGAACTGACTGACTTGTGCTGGTTTAGGTCCATGTTTGAAATGGAATAAATGGAAGTGATAAAAATGCTACTGAAAAGAGCAGACGGGGATGTCTTTTCTTGGGGGCAAAGAAGCCAAGTGGGGTTCTAAATAACCCTCTGCTGCATATAAGAAGGATAAGAACTCGTTCATGGAAAAATCTCGATTCTTCCTGCTTGGTCACTCTGCCAGCCCTTTGTCAGAACCTCCCAACTTTGGTAGGCTGTGTTAAGTAAAACCTACTTAGAGGAAGAAGGGAAGGAAGGAACCAAATGAGATCAACCCTTACTAGTGATGGGAAGAACTCTGCTGGACCCAAGAACTTGGATTTTTCTTTCTTGTTCCCTGCTAAGGCTTCCTCTATTCTCCAAGAGCTATTGCAACTGCCCCCCAGACACCACAACCACAGAAAGGAGTAACCATCCCTCCCCCAAATAGCTAGAAGATACTTACTTTACAGAGTAAAGACTTTCTTCACCAAGCTCTGCTCCTGACTTAAATGGTTTGTACCTTAATGGTGGTGCATCTGCTTTGTATGCAGAAAAGCCTAAAGACTTTGGTTACAAGAAATCAGGTGTCAAGTGATGGGAAAAGTCATTCTCTCCCTGGGATCCTGGAGAGGTTGTCCTGGGCTAGGTAAGAAAAAGACTGCTTTGATAAAAGGGCCCTGAAGAGTCACCAACCCTAGAGGAATTTTAAAGCCTTCTGAAGCCAAGTGTAATGGTATATGGGAAAGGCCTTGGGAGACAGGGGGAAGAGATGCTGCCTAGGGAATGGTCAGATAAGAGGGGGCATAGCCCACAGCTGGACAATGGGTGGGGCAAGAGGCTCAGAAGGGACCCTCCCTAGTTTCTCAGACTGTAAAGGAGACGGCGGGAGAATTGTACTTTCAGACTTGCAAGATTCTGTTCATGTAGCTTTACAATGAAGTAGAATTAGCTCATCTGGTCATGATTCCTGTCTGGTCTACCTGGTAAGGTTTACACCAAGTCAAGAACTGGTTGGCTGAGGATCACTGAGGATAGAATGGAAAGTCATGAGTTAAACTCCACAACCAACTCCCAAATGGATGGTGGCCACCAAGCCTGCTATCAAAGCTGCAGGCTCCCGATGCATTGTATTTAGCTCTAATTTGGCAACTTAACTATTGGAAATTTGTAATAAATAGTGTGCCCTACTTGTTTGAACAAGCTTAACATCCTGGGATGGAGACACTTGGTCTTCCTCCAGAGACTGACTTTGGCCTGAGGGTCCTCAGTTTCCAATTCCAGCAGCCAGGTTTGCTCATGTAAACTTCTGACAATTGGGAGTGGAACACTATGTTAATAGGCTCTGGACATTTAAGTTCTGTTTTTCAAAATCCACAGATCCAGCTATTTCATGCCTTTTAAAATATATCACTCCCTAGTAAGAGTAGTGCTAATACTACTAATAGATGGCAACTTAGAAGCAAAACCTTAAAACAGTGTTTCTCAACCTTGGCCAGTTGAAGATGTGTGGACTTCAGCTCCCAGAATTCCCCAGCCAGCCATGAGCCATGTTGAAGTCCACATATTGTCAAGTGGCCAAGGTTGAGAAACACTGGCTTAAAGTGTTGGCAAGCTGTTTAAATATGGATAAAGTGCTAGCATTTTTCATTTGCTAATTAAGATGCTGAGATTGTGGCAATGAAGAACATCAAGATCTTCCCCCTTTTGTGGCTTGGTACATGAAATCAGCAGTTTGGGGTCAACTGCCAGCCATGCATCACTGCCAACAATGAGATGCAACGGATCTTGGCCAGCCTCGGGTGAAAACAGTGACTCATGATAAAACCATTCAACCTCATCTTCTGCCAAGCTCTGCAACCAGACAGTGAACCCATCCAAAATGCAAGAAAATTCAACCCACAAAGACAGGGAGTGTTTTAAATGAAGCTGAAGCACTTGAACTAATATCTTTCACTTTCCCCGGATCACATTTCACACTCTGTGCAGAGCCCACCCATATAAGGGATAGGAACCTCAGTGTACAACTGCCTGTCCTTTTATTGCAAAGAAATGAATAGGACTTAAATAGTCTGTGGAGGAATTGAACAACGCAGCGGTAAAGGCATGGCGGGTTCTCCTTTTCCCCCATTTACTGATTCAATGGAGTGGGGCCAGGCTGCACAAAAGCTGCATTAGTGTACCTAAAAGCTTCCTCGGAGAGATCTTCTCAACCACTTCCCAGTCCACCAATGTACTCTGTTCTGGTAGCTACACCGCTGAAAACAATTAGAGGATGAATAACAGATCCAATACAGGGGTGATGGAGGTAGACATTTCTTTCTTGGTAAAGTAAATCTCTACCCAAGACAGGAAGAGTTACCTCAGTATCCTTTCCCACCTGGAAGCATCATCTGAAGGCCCTTCCTGCATATACATTGGTGGAATATTCAGGGTCTTGGTTCTGGGGGAGAAGATACAGAAGGATCCCACAGCACAAGTCCCCAAGTTTTCTAATTAATATCTGTCTTGGGACATTTTCCTGGGCAAGCTTCATTGAAATGAACTGGACCGGTAGAAGAGTAAAATGTTTCCACAGGGGAAAAAAATCAGCCTAGTTTCCCTTCATTTTGTTATGATGGATGGGCCATCCCTAGATAGTCTTGTTTTACTCAGAACATTAATTAATTTAAATGGATGAAAAAGTGGGTTACAAGCTTCAGTGACTGGGGGGGGGTAGGGAGGGGGTAGGGGGGAAAGAGGGCCAGCCTGGAATGGTGATCCTTGAATGCTAAGCATGTTTCATTAACTTGGTTGTGAAAACTGTTATCAAAGCTACATTCTGGAAATTAAGGAAAAATAATGGAGTACTCAAGATAAGCACTGGGATGGAAAAATGCCTGTTCTCAGCAAGAACAGGAATTTGTAGCCTTCTCCATTTGTTGGGATAATGTGAGGGGTGGGGTGAGGGCACACTGAAGGCAGCTGAGAAGCTTCAATAACAGGCAGTTAAGGGGAAGTTTTAATGGTGGCGGGAGCATGATGTGACTGGGTTTCAGAGAAACAAGGTAGACCTAATGCTTAGCAAGGCCTTCTAGGAAATAATGCTTCGAATAATTGTGCAGAGTTCCAAGGACAGCAGAGGAGAAAACACTTCTCGGAATCTAGAGGATTCATGGAGATCAACCTTTGGCTGGTGGCACCCCAACCGAGGGACTACTCAAGGTAATGGGATCCTCCACAGTGGAAATGGAGTAGATCCAGAAGAGAACCCACTGTACAGTAACAGCGGTGTGAGCCCAGAAACGTAAGTAGAGAATACTACCCTGTGTCAACCTTAACAGGAAGCGTCCTTCCTTCGTGGGCTTGGACTCTGCTCTGAACAAGCAAGTCAAGAGTTATGGATGGGAGTTCTACAGCTAGTTGTGCCTCTCTCCTTCAGCTTCTCATAAACCAGGTTGGGGCTGAATGAAATCTAATTTCATGGTTGTCCTTGGGGAAGAGAAGTGCTTCTCTCAGGAGTATCAGACCCTCACTCTGTTTCTATTTCAAATCTCGTGAGACAGCCAGACTGAGAGATAACTATCATGAAAGAGAGAATAGGGTGCATTTTCCCCTGTTCCAGCACCCTGAGAATCCACGTCTGGGCTTTGCTCTGTGGATCCATCCTGTACATGTAGAGATTCTGTCTCAGGCAGCAGGAATCCAGAAAAGGAGCTGCTTCATCACGCCAATGGCATCAAAGCCTGGAAGGAGGGAAACTTCTGACACAAAATGACTTGGGACATGTTCCTATGATAATATCCCCCCAATCCCTCTCTCTTTCTTTTGTTCTAACTGGGTTTGCTCAGTTGGTTGATTTTGATGTACTGATGCACAGAGACTATGACCTACCTGAAGGCCTACTTTCTATGACATAGCCAGTGATAGGCTTAACTCCTGAAACTCCCTCTGTCCAGTATAAAGTGATTCCAGAGGCGGTTTTTGAGACCAGCAAGTGCTGCGGAGGACCAGGAGATCCTGGAGGAGTGGAACAAACAGAGTGATGGTTGAGACAGGAGAATGAAAGAAGGGATTATTCATACTGTGCTCTTGTCTCATACTTTGAGACAAGAGAGAGAGAGAAAAAAAAAACCTGCCAGCCTCTAGCAAAATTGCCTCTTTTGACAGTTGGGTAAGAGGTGAGAGTCCTCTGTACCTGACTGTGGCCACATCCCTGCCTATAAATTAAGCCAGAATGTATCATCAGAAAGCCCCTGACTCCCATCAGGGGCAGCCTGCCAGAGGCATCTCTCTGCTTCACAGAGTATTTCAATGGCGTAAAAGATCCTTTAATGAGGATCAACCCAAAAACGAAATGGAGACGCTATTTTAAAGTGGCCTTTGGATTTTTTCCCCCTAATGGATGGCACAGCTCTCTATAATAATTGCCGAGAACTTTTTGAAAATACTTTCCGCCCCTCAAATTGCAGAATCTATAATTACAGTTTCCAGGCTGGTCCTCACGTGCTGAGAATCGGTCTGTTACAGATACCAGTAAATCTTGCCTCGCAACTTAATGCTCCCTTGGCTTGGAAGTGCGTTTTGAGTCTTTGCTGTGGGTGCTGAATCAGCTCCCATCTTTATAGTAGTAGTTGTTCTTCATTTCTGGCATGCTCCTCAGGTCTCTCTTACCCTCTGTTGGCCCAGCTGTGATGTTGGCTTGCAGCTCAGGTCCATAGATAATGGTCTTGGCTTGCACCCGAAACAAGTAGGTCATTCCTTTGGTGAGATCTCTGACTTTTAGCCAACGCTGCCAATTGCCCTTGATGTCCACGGTCACCACTTTGCTCACCCCTAAAAAAATGGTCCAAAGATAAGAGCATTCCAAGAAAGGAGAGATGGGGGGGGGGGAGGAAGGTGAGGAGGAAGGGAAGTAAACAAGCAGCGAAACAGCAGAGCCTATGCCAACTAGATTACCAGCAAAATTATCAAGCCGTTTGCTAAAGAAGTATTTCTTACAATTAGTGGGAATTTAAGTGGCAATAATGGCCAATTTTCAGCAGAGATAAGTGTAATTAGACTCTAGGGTTGATAAGTGGATACTGTTAAGGGGAGGGGGAACCTTACAGCACAGTTGGGAAATTTTCAAGAGGCTGGAGATTACCCTCACTGATTACACGGAGATAGAAGAAAGAGGTGAGCAGAAGTAATTGTGGCTTGTAGCTCTCTCTAAAAACCCAAACGGACTCCATGGGAGTCCTTTCACCCCATCATTCTGTCAAATCACTCCTGGGGAGAAAAATCGCTAGGCCAAGTCTCTATTGACCGACATCTCAACATTTTACAGGGAAGCAAGGCAATTTAGCATTTTAGCTTTTAGCATTTCAGATTTCTACTGCTTGTTGGTTAATTCCTTCTAAAAGAGGGAAAAAGCCAACAGCAGAGGAGAAAGGTAAGTTAGTAGATACAGGTTTCCATGTGAAAAGTTCAACTTGGTTTCTTTCAAATCAGTTTAGAGCAAGAGATGCTATTTTATTAAACATATTTATGGGGAAAATGGTAGGCTTGTGTGGGGAAAAAAAAAGTTAAGGGTCACCTTTGGAGATTCAACTACATTTCATTTAAATTAGGATGTTTTTCTAACAGAGGAAAGTGGACGCAGGGCCTCTTCCTCTTCTGACTGAGGGTCTAAAATCTGAAATTTGCTTTTTGAGTTTTAAAGTTAAGTAGCGGCATCCTTGAGACTCATTAGAAAATCAAGCTTTTCCCTCCCTCTAAAAATATTTCCTTATACTGTGACTGCAACGTTGCAGTTCGTGTTTGTGGAAAAACCCAAGAGCACTCTCTTTGCCCTGGCAGTTAATTGGGAAGCCAACAATAGCTGGCATCTCAACAAGACTTAATTCTGTTTGGATTGGTTAAATCAAATTCAGGACTTTCCAGAGCAGCTTGGTTCAATTCCTCCTTCCAGCTGCAATTTGAGATCAAAGAGTCAGAGGGGAGGGGACAGGGTCAAATCCACTGTCTCTAGAGGGACCGTCCAATTCTCAGTCAAATCTGGAGAACAAAAACACCCCCCAACAATATTGTTACTTAAAACTGTGGTGAAGAATGGCTCTGGGCTTAGTTTGTCATTGTCTAATATTAGGGGAACTGAATTTTAAACAGTCCGTAAGGAGCGAGTTCAAATATGAGGAAAATCCAGCCATAGAGGAGAAAGTCTGCAGAGAACCCCTTCTTTAAAAAGCACTTTGAAGTTCTGGAAACGAGGAGCAATTCTGTATCAGAAGCAGAATGTTACAGGGAAAGATAAAATAACCATTTTGAAAATATGCAGAAGCCCCAACATTCCTGAAGGCACATGGTGCAATCAGATATTTCTACACGCAAATGCTTTCTCTGGGTTTCTCTTGCACAGCTTTCCTGCAGCTCTGTCAGCTCAAGATTGCTCAAGCACCATCTGTTGTAGAGAAAACAGTGGGGAAAAAAATTGGAAAAGCATTTCTGCTTGTCCTGTGGCATGAAAGGAGAAGGAGGCGAATGCTTTCTCTTCAGTTGTTGCACTACCAATCGCAATCCATTCGGAATAGGAATTAAGGAAAAAACAAAATAGAGACCTGAGCATCAAGAAGGCCCTCAGGACCAACCTATTCACCTGTCTGTCCCCCAAAACTCCCCAGCAAAGAAATCGTTCCAACAGTTGAAGGGCTGTAGGGATGAATTTTTTGAAGGGGAGTGTCAGACTCACGGGCAGCTGCCTAAAACTGAAAGTGATTCTCTCCAAGCCTGATTCTCACAGTTTTCTTTAGCAAGATTTATGCAAAAGGATGGGATGAGGTTTCCCATTTAGAACCAATATCATCCCAAATGCATTAGGGGAAGAACTTTCTGATTGTATTTGTAATAGCCTTCCGATGATCTGACAGGGAGGTAGGTCTCTTTGCTGATCGTGGCTGTTCACGTTCTACCAGCATGTGGAATCTATTTCTAAAACACTCCAGGTAAGCAAATATTTTAAAAGACAGATACCTTGTGGGTTTTGTAGGAGACATCACGTGGGAGGAGTATCTCATAATATCTCAGTCTCTTGCAGACCTTTCTTGGGGCCCTTGGCTAAACTTACACAATTTTTTTGGCTGCGGGACTCTCTGCTCTCCCCCCGCCCCATGGCAATGGTGATTCAGAGTTTGCTCAGCACGCGGGATGGAACTTCAAACTTTTCTCTCTCCCTACTTAGAAGAAACAGCCCAAATAATGCACACAATGGCCCCCTCTTCATTTGAATCAGCTGAATTCGTGCAGTCAAAATCAAAGATCCAACTGAAACCCCAGCAGACCACAGAAATATGCAATAAATATTAAACGACCTGGCTTTTTTTTTTTCAATCTTAGGATTATTTTATACTCATCTGCAGGCATATTACCAATTATTTTTCTGCTGTTATTTTGGGAAATTAATCTCACAATTTAAGTTCCCTTCCAGCGGAGCGATATATGAGACCCAGGGCTGGATAAAGAGTGCTTACGTGCTAGTGCAAAAACTAAGGAAGGCGTCTAAAATACAGACTGTATTGCATTATGAGCCTAGCATGACAGAAATAAGCCAGCCTACTTTATTCCCAAGTATTTTAGAGCAATTTTGGACTGATGGATTATTTTGATGCCTGCTCCTTTAATACTTGTTCCCGTGGCAAGAAATGCTCTCAAGGGAGATGAGAGAAGTGAACGTTTGTGACTAACAGTAAAAGTGGGCATCTGTTGTTGCCTTCAGATTCTGAGGCTTGGAAGAATCAGCTTTTCTCTGTGACTGCAATCTTGATGTCGATGTTGCTTCCAAAGTTAGTGTTGGAAACTCACTGGCTTTGTTTAGATGACATATTAGACAGGTCATATGGGGTAGGGGGTCATGCAAACAGGAACATGGGGATAGAGATCTGCCAGTTCACCCCACAAGATTAATTTTGCCCCAAGTAAACTTAGCCTTGGTTGGGGCTAAAGTACCTTTCACCAGTCAGCTGTGACATCTGAATGGTTGACGAAGGGATTAATCAGATCTTACGTCTCCCAAGATTGAGATATCAACATTCTAGAGAACCCCATAGAAAACAGGGCCTAGAGCACTGTCTCTATCACCATTCCAATTTCTCATCCCTTGCAGTCCTATGGGGTGGAAAATGAGCAGGAATGAAAAAGGTGAGATGTGGGTAGGGAACAGACTCTGATTGCACTCCACATGTTTATTTTTTAATGTATTTGCTTCAGAATACAAAAATTCGTTGCACCAGCTAGAAAGACTTTAAAAATGGCTGAGACATGGCAGACCTAGCTGCCCTATGTTATGTGCTGCTACGGTTTAAAAGTGGGCCAGCTGAAGGGGAGAGGAAAGGTGGGGT